AAAAAAATGAAAAACAGTAAAATTCCTACTATTATCGTTATATATTTTTCATCATTTAATAAGAAGGAACTGTATCACAGTTTTATTGTTAGTGCTTCGTATAGGATCAGATACTGCGAATAGCCCATTTTTTTTCTTTTACATAGTACACCGCACTATCACTTTGTCATCGTTGTAACTTTTTAAATATTTGTCGAACTGACATAGTGTAAAAAGCAAAGTTTATCGTCTTTAAATATCAAAAGCGATAAAAGTATTTGTTTTGATAAAAAATGATTTGTTAATACAAAATGTGCATTTTGGAAATAGATATCAAATAATGATTTAGTTTTGATTCACTATTTTAGCGGTAATGACTCACACATTAAAAATAGATATATGGTGTCACGGACTTTTTTTAGAACTATTTAAGAGATACATTTTCACTCTACATTACATTCATATAACTTTTATTGTTTTTGCAGTGCAGGCCAAAATGGCTCGCAAGTGGGAGATTTTGTTCCGTCTTAGGTGACACTTATTGTTATATATTGGCCAATTCACTCAATAACTACATAAATTATTATATATATGTAATTATCATATATGAGCTATATTACTGTTAAGTTTCATTAAAATCCATTCAGTATTTTTTAGGTGAAAGAGTAACAAAGATCCATACAAACGTAAGATTGAAATTAAAAGCGTAAGTGGTTAATATACAACTTTAAAGCGTTGTAGATCCTAAACAATCATATTAAATGAAAAATGGTGTTAGAAAATTTTGTCAACTTATTTTTTTTACTTCGTCACAATATGGCGCCCAATTTTGCCCATATTGAATTTTAATTACTATCATATCTTTAGTAGCACTCCCATAATTGAGACGAATCGATTGATGTATGAATCATCAAAATCGGTCCAGGCGTTTGGTCTCTAGTGTGCCACAAAGGAACAAACATACATATATAGACTGTTAAACACATAATCCTGTCTACGCGTCGCGCTTCGCGCTCTTGCATCTTGCATTGCGCAGCCGGGTAAAAAAATACAAGCTGTTTTAGATGTTTTCAATGCATACAGACATATTTTCCGAAAAAGTAACAAAATAATAAGTGTAAAGTGTAGCGAGTGCAACCTCTCATGGTGAGTATAGTGAATATGAGTGTGTGTGTGTGTGTGTGTGTGTGTGGATATGCCCTACCTCGTGGTTGTTTCGATAATATGTATAATATTCGGTATTATATGAAAAGAAACGGACTTTTTGATAAACTGGGTGAACGCATATAGAAAAATTAAGAAAGTTTGTTCTCCCGTGACAAATATTCAATGAATCCTATATTTCATCACATTCAAATAAACTAAAACTTAATGATCACTTAATTAATTGTCATGAAACAAATTACTATTGAATCAATTTCCAACTTTACTAACAATAAAAATTAACATACCTATGAAATATTACAAATAAATCATAACGTGTGACCGGTTTCAATAAGTCATGGTAAGAGGTTCTAAAAATGTTTCTTTGTTTTTTATCAACATTATATGTTCATAGTCATTCTATTAAAGCTGAAGCTTATCTCCATACAATGCGTTGGATATGTATACTAAGTTTCATTGTGTGCGTCACACGTTTACGGTATTTTCTGGTATAGGTATGCATACCTAATATAAATACAGAGGTTTTATTGAAGCTTAGGAACTTACTCAAAACAAAAAATTTTTTCAAAGATAGAATTGAATTGTCTTCGTTCTGTAGATACTTAAGACAATGTTTTTGAGTGATTCCTAGGATTCCTTTCCTTTTCTGAAGAATTCCCAGTAGATTATACACACAATTTCGACACTTTAAGAAAACTATAAACACTGTTGCTGTACTTATGCAAATGCTATAGATACTTTGACAAATATTGGTAAAATAATAAATATCTTAAGGTCCACTTGAACCAAAATGCTTAATTTAATTTAAAACTTAATCATATTTAAGATATCATTCCATCTTTATCAATAGTTTTAAGTCAAATAAAGATGGCGTAAGGCTCAAACGTGATTAGGTTTTAAATTTGAATTCAGAACTTTGGTACAATCGTTTGATAAAAATATAAAAGAAAGTTGTATTAAATACTCGTAAATACTTCATAACAGATTGCATTTGAACTCGCTCATTACAACGATATGCTTAAGTGGAAAAAGAAATCTACGTCAAATTATTAAAAAAGCGTAGTCCATTGAAAATATTCATTTGAACAATCAAGACGGGTGGGACCCATTGTTGTTGTGTATGCCAAAACATCATTATCGTCAACAAAAGTCTCTGCTTAAGAAAGAAAGCGCACAAGGTGCGCAAATAAGATTATTATCTCAATATTTTGTTTATTCTACTCCTAAGACGCTCAACGCTAAGAAAAGTTGGAAGTGTTTTATGATTATATTTCCTGGGCAAAAAGTGTACTCAAAACGTTGAATTTTTAAAATATATTTTTTGTAATGTGTTATGACGACCTCCATGGTCGAGTGGTTCGTACGCCGGGTTTCATGGTGTCCGACCGACTCGAGAGGTCCCGGGTTCGAATCCCGGTGGGGGCAGATGTTTGTGTGATGAATACGAGCATTTGTACTCCAGTCATGGATGTTTAATATGTATTTCTATATAAATATACTTATTCAGTATATGTATTCTATCCGTTACCCTAGCATCCTATAACACAAGCCTTACATTGCTTACTTTGGGGCTAGGTTAATAATAATAAATACTTCCAACACTCACAGTGTTGGAAATATTTATTACACTGTGAGTGTTAGAAGTATTTATTATTATTATGACGCGCGAGAGAGAGAGAGTGAGAGATTTTCAAACACTAACACAATGTAATACAATGCCCGACATCCCAAGTTGCATTTAAAACTATATAAACGCTCTATTTTGAAAAAATTAGGCTGTTTAACGTTGTTGTATTTGGGCTGTATAGCCGGATTCAGTCGTTGTAACCCCAAAATGGCCCTAAATTAATTTGGCTCTAAGTGTAGATCTAGCTGTCTTAGAGCTGTCTAATAGCTGTACAAACTGAAGTAATAGCTGACTTAGAGTTTAGTTTAGATACCATTACAACTAACTATACTATACTGTTACTCTAATTTTGCGTGTTTTATTGTTATAAACAGTTTCTAAAGATCTGAATATGAAAATAAAATTGTTTTTTTCGTGGTTGAATCCTTACAAATTCTTTTCTAAGATTTTATTTAACGAATACGCGGCGGTCATTATAATTTCTACAGTAAACAAATATTTATTTTGCTCTATGATAGTACCCATTATCTGTTCTATGGATGGTATTTTGCTTGCGGCTGCTATTTCTTCGTAAATATGTATACTAATAGTAAGTAAAAAACCCATGTGCTCTCAAAATAATGTATATTATAGAAAATTACCGTGTAAAAAACCGTTTAGCCCAACTTGGAACTAGCGTTATGAGGTCCTAGTACTTTTCTATTGAAAATAAATTAATTTTGTATGGTACTCAGCTAAAATTCCCTCTGAATTTGATAAACAATATATATATATTTCATCTTATAAACTTTTAAATCATGTTTGGAGGTTAGGTTTAATGGCGTTCTCAATTTATGTAAACAGCTTTTGCTTGAAGCTTTTTGCGTAACTTAGTTGTAATTTAAGAATATTTAACAGCTGAACGAATAATATTTGCTGTATATTAGAATTTAGTTACTATAGTAGCTACTTAAAAGTATAAATTAAGTTAATATTACAGCAACCTAGAGTTCTTTTTTGTTGCTTCCATGGTTTGATGACCATTATTGTGTCTTGCTAATAACGAAAACAACTTACAGTGAACAAATACAATAACCCCTATTAACTAAAAAAGCAGTAAAATAATCGATAAGCCGAATAACTAACTCCCTATATGTTATTTTCGAAAGACAATAATGGGCATCTAACCATGGAAGCCACAAAAAAGAACCGAATACTTACTAGGTTACTGTAATATTTATTTAATTTATATTTTTAAGCACTATTAAGATGTGTGACATCGGGGGCTCTACTATGGGAGAAAATTTACTCTAATTGCGTTAGCTTTAGAATAAGGTAACAAAAAAATCTTATGCAGTAGACAGCAATATATTACACTCTTGTAGAGGGATTTGCTTTCTAAAGGTGTCCCAGATAACCACTGAACAGCTATTATTCAGCCCAATATGACATCTTTACAATAGAGTTATTCTACACCAATATCCAGATATTAGCAATATTCTACGTTCTTGTACAGAATAAGGCAACACAAAAGTAGAATCCAAGAGCAATGTCAATTCTATATACTGATTTAGTCTTTTAAACTTGCTAATAGCGATTTTTATACTACACATTGTATTTCAGAGTTTTTCAGTGTTATTTAACTGTCAAAATAATAGTTACTCTCTAGTACAAAATAAATATATATTTAAGCCTTTGTTCATATGTTATAAAGCTTCTAGCTGTTAATATGCTGCACAAAAGATATTTTTTTAGCCTAAATGTTTATTGGGATTACTTATTTAATGGTTTCTTTGTGTATTTTATTATTATTTGATGGCCGAATTCACGCTTCGAAGAAGTTTTGGACTCAGTTGGACTCGTTTAGGGTTTGGTTCTATAAAAAACTGAATTGAACGGAAACGAAATAATGTTAACCGGTTTCTCTCTGGTGCCTGCGGAGGTAAGCTTAAGGTTTTTTTTCTGTCGTCGAGTCAGCGGCTCTCATAACAATAAGCAGGTATTTGTTCGACTTTTGGCTCCGCTTTGACTCTGCATAACCGCTATTTACATGACAAGTAGAATTAAAACATAACCACGTAGTAAAAAAAAACAATCGTTGTTTTTTCATTATTCACTCAGTTTTTAAAGGTTAGTAATTCAAATTCAAACAATATATCTTATTTTCACAATCGCCATTTTTTTATTATTCCTCATTTTTTATTATCTTCTATATATCTTTTTTTGGAACATAAAGTTTACACATCCATTATTATTATCGTACATCAATTAACATTGATCGTGCATTACAATATCAATAACATAACTTTATATTACTTTCATTAAGGGCATTTGGATATCTTTGGATACTAATGCATGTATTTCTCTTATACTGTAAATATTATTATTTTTATTGTAACATCTTACTTGAACTTTAACAATCATGATAATATATTTTATAATCAGTACATAATTTAAATAATTTGGCGATCATAAACAATACCTTCCATATCACGTCTTATTTTACACTTACATCGTTCAACTAATCAGTCGTGGATCCTTCCCGATGGGATCCAATGTTACCTTCCATTATCTAAATAAATTATATAATACAAAAAATATTACACTAACAACCTGTGTAGGTATAAATTACACATATCGTACGTACGTATAGACGATTTCTAACTTAAAGAATACAACAATGTACAATATATGACATGCCATCTAGATATGTAACAATAGGGCCTTCAAACATCCGTTGCGCAGCCATCCTGAAAGCCGTCATCTGCGGCAGGCCTGGTAATAGTGAGTACTCGCTTGAGCGCCGAAACTGGTGGCAACACCGGTGGGGCCCTTTGCCAAACACGAAGAGTTCGTGCTCCGCCCACTGGCAGCCCATAGTCTGGCGGGTAAGGAGCATCTACTGCTGGCGCCGTTGTCATAGCATGTGACCGTGGAAACGTACGACTCATATAACCCAACTCCTCCTGTGATCCATTCACGCTACAGTTTTCTATTATGGGCGTACGGTCATTATAATATGCAGGTATGGCCGAGCTGATTGCCCTTGATAGGTTATTTGCCTGATTCATTTTCATTTGATCCCAAAGACCAGAAGGATATAGCGAATCAGATCCTTCTCGTGCATATTCGCCGCTTCCAGGTCGCACACTAGTGTCTGGCCTCGTGTCATTGATGAGATCGGGGTCAATACTCCCAGAGACTGTTGGCGATACTACTACAGGTCCACCAGCGGTAACGACACTTCCTCTACCTTCGTAGTGATTTGTGGTGTAAGGTATATCGTTGGCTCTTGGAGGTTTTGATACGGGATTGCACTTTTGATCATTATAATTCGTAGATTCCTGTCTATTAGCCAAGACAGCAACATGCGGTCTATCCGTCGGAGTTGGATGTACTTCATTCCCAGACACTACTCGTTCTATAGTATTCGGAGTTTTACTTTCACAAATAGGAGCTGGTTTAAATCGAACAAATGTTATCAAGAGCGCTAAACAAATAACCACAACCACTAAGAATAATGCAGCTCCCAGGCTTGCTATTTGTGCACTTCCCAATGAAGCCATTCCTGCCGCCATATGAGAAACGTGAACTGTGAAATTAGCTTCTGCATTGCCCCCTTTATTCTCAGCTACACAATAAAACTCAGTCGAATCAGTTTCTTGTGTATTTGTCAAAATTAACGACGACTTCTTTTTTAAATCACCTTCTTCAAATACATAGACTCTTTGATGAGAGTTGAAATTGCTTCCATTTTGAAGTAATCGGCCATTGTAATACCAGTTTATAGTTGCACTAGGCATTGCTTCCGTTCTACAAGTTATAGTGGCATTTTCCCCCACTTTAGCCTCGACGTGTCGGCTTACCGGTAATATTTCCGGCTTACATGCAAACTCATCAATTGGTAACTCTGCAAATGGTCGGTTGGCTAACCGTGTTGGAGCAAAACAACTAGGAGTAGATAATAACTTATGTTTTGCTAACCATAGCTTAAGCTCTCGAAGTCGACAGTCGCAAGTCCAAGGATTATCTGATAAATCGATAGCTCGCAGTTTTTCAATTTTTTCTAATGAATTCAGTGGCAAGTCTCTGAGTTTATTGTAGTCCAATTTTAAAGATTCCAGCGAGCGTAAATGTCTAAATGCGTCTGAGGCGATTTCTCTAATGTCGCATCTTGACAAATCGAGTTTGACAACGCTTCCAAGATTGCTCAATGCGTCTGAGTGTACTTTTAAAATTGGATTTTGTGACAACATTAAATCCCGTAGGAATGGAGCATCCTTAAAACTGTTTGAAGGTATTTGAGTGAGTAAGTTATGCGAAAGATCTAATTCTACTAAATTTGTTAAGCCTTTGAAGGCTCTATCGTGTATTTGGCCAATACTACATTTTCGAAGATAAACTCTTTGTAAATTAACCAATCCCGTTCTTGCAAAAGCTTCTTGTGGTAGTATCTGTAAATTGTTTCCAGACAAGTCTAGGACCTGAGTTGCTGGGTCTACTAGCTCTGGAACGGTAATAAGCGCCCTATCCACGCACTCCGCACTCTGTTTTCCCCCTTTCCACTTGCATGCACACACAACTGGACAAGATCCGGGTGGTGCAATGCCAGCTAAAGTTCTTTCCCACATCATTACACTCATTGTCACTATGAACCACCTCATTTTGATACCAATCCAAAAAAAGTTTCAAAGAATGCATTCACTGTAACATATAGTTCACAAAAGGTTTCACTTCCGGTCCATTCGGACACACAGTCAATAATACCTAATAATATTTGGTATCCACATTTCGATATCGTATCACATCACTAATCGCGAAAGTTGGCGAGCGGTGCATGACGACGCAGCGCACACCCGCGACGGCTGTAAATCAACTGAGAGAGGGAGGGATCGTCTCGGTCTCGGTAAAACGAGCTTGACGCATGCGCGTCGGTGGCTCCCCGCGCCCCTCTCTGCGGCTTCACCTCTTCGAGTTGAGTAGCCCTACTCGGAGCGAACTGTTAAAAGAATTCCAAAAGTGTAATTTTGTACCTGGCTGTGGCCACGATCGAGAATCCCACCCGGCAGACCGTCACGTTCATTCATAAATACCTGAGCTGAGGTGGGGACGATAGTTTCAATGCATGCCCGAGAGGCAACAATAGCATGTTCGGCTACGGCACCGGGCACGCAAACCGCTCCGATTGTTATACAATACACATCTTTTTGTTGTGATCACGTCGGGATCGGGAAACGGCGTGGCGTCAGGTACCCAACTAATTATGAATAACAGATCAAAGCAAAGACAGGTATTCACTGACAATAAAACAGGATGTGTCGTACAAAGACCACGACAATTTCATTCATAATTTCTTTGAAGGGATGTAATTGGAAGTGACGTTTTTTCAATCTGCTTTTATCCCAACATATTTTCAGCTAAAAGGACATGGCAAAAAATAATAATATTAAATTCGCACTATCCCGTGACATTTAAATATATGTTTATAATTTTTACGTGTTAATTATGCTCGTACAACTTTCGCGACATAATTAAAATTTTAAATAGGTATATAGGCTTTTGCTGGCAGTCGCTCATACTAAATTTTACCATGGCCTTTCACATTAAGTACCTAAACTATCTAAATATAACATGAATGCTATTTCGTTTTGTTTCTTATTTTATTCTATATATTTTAGTTGTTGCTGTTGGTACGTATTAAGTAAATTATTTTACTTGTTTAATTTATTTGCGTATGCTAAGACAAGCAATTACTTTTTGTATTTAATTTGAAATCTGTCTTCAAAGAAGTAAATTATAATAATTGTGGAGTATAAGGACTGTATTTTTAATTATTATTAGAGAAAGAGAAAACAGTGGTGGCAGTGACAAGGCAAAACAATCTATTTAATGTGAAAGATTAACAATATCAATAAAAAAAGTATCAAAAACTCATAGACAAAACATATAAAGGAGTGATATAAAAGGTGCGCTATCCGGCACAATAATAAAAGCCCATAAACCCAGTCTGTGTAACGCACTCAAACAAGGCTTAGTTTTTATCAAAACGAGCCGCCTGAGCTCAAGGTTATATCACTTATATTTAATTTGGAAATTAACGTTTTCCTAGTTGTAAATGGATGCCAATCAAAGTAATTATAATTACTTTAAAAGTTATCTACTTTTCTTTTTAATTTAAAGTATGTGATTGACACCCGTTCATTTTGTTAATTTCCCTCTATTTGCGTAAATTGTCAATAATATTAATTTATAGAAAATATAAACATATATTGAGATAAACAGGAATAAAGTAAAATGCCAATCTGAAGAACTGGATTAGGCATAAAAAATAATGGCATTTTTTTGCATAAGTGTACTTGATCCCTGGACAGTTTTGGTGAGTATGTAGTTAGTATGTATGTATATTATTCAATGATGATCTGAGTACCAGTTGATACACAGCTTCGTATCAAATTCAAAATTAATTGTTTAACGCAACAATTCTCCGTAATATGTTACAGAAGAATAACAAGACAACAATAACGTACCTACGTAAAATTCATAAGTAAAAGGTATATTTTCTCTAAATCGGAATTCTCTTAAAATATTCTTTAAAAGTAGGTACTCAATCATGATCATTTAATTTTTGGGCAATACGGACTTGGAGGATGGCGGCGGGCTAGACGAAAAAGTATAAGATTTTTCCGTCATAAGTCGCTAACTACTAACTTTACTTCTAACCAACCGACTGTTCCACGACACTTATGTTTGCTTTTTTATTTGTAAGAATGTGTTGCATCGTAATTCGAATGATCCTTACTTAAAAATAACTGGATACTGTTGTAAAACCGTAATTAAGAGCAGTTCATTGGCAGATGATGAAAGTTTATAGGGATAATATAATAATCATGGTGATGGCTGGCACGCGGCTGCCACGCTCGCTCCGTCGGCCATATGTCGCTTCGTCAGCTGCTACCTCATACTACACCTGGCGAATCCCGGTTCGTTCCCAACTGAGCTATACAGTTATATCAAAATTAAGTCGAATTATTTCGAACTTTCTGGTCTAAAAATTATTCTGTCAGGTTTGATTTCCAGATTATTAGGTACACCGTGAATTTTGAGTTACGTATCTAAGAAAATTTACTAGCGACACCAGACAACAATTAAAGTTATATTTCAAGAAAAAATTGTTTTAGAAAGTGTTCTAAAAACGGAAACACGTTAGGTCAATAATTGTGCAATTAAGAAACCTTTACAAATTTTAGTGTTCATAAATTATTCAAATAAACCTTCTTTTAGGATCTACGTTCTTTAAACGGATAATACAAATACAAAAAATGCAGAATACAACTTGTATTTGTAATAATTCCATATAGTTATGTTATTTACCATATATAGGATATTTTGTGAACGATATAAATCCATATTTTTGTATAAGGGTGAAGTATGTTTACTGTTTATTCTCACTATTTTTATTTATACAATTTTTAAATTTCTGATATAACTCAAAATTCAAGGTATTTGATGTCTCTGTATATACATAAATAGGGAGAATAAAACAGCCGTTGCTACGTTTCTTTCTGGTTTTCTCACAACAACACAGGGAAGTTTTTCCATATTCTTAGTGTTTGTAACATCCTACACTGAAGTTAACGATATTTAATTTTGTTTTTTATAAGCGCAATATAGAAAACGGAGTCATCTCATCAGTATGTCTCTTTTTTTGTAAAGTATAACATATTAACTTTAGCTTCCATCTTTCCATTCTAGTCTTGTAAATTTATTATAAAACATCCAGAATTTTTATCGCTACTAAAAATAATAAAAGGAATAATAGAAACTGAAATAACTTTAGATTACCGCTATCCAAAATAAAATAAGTTACATCTAACCCCCATATAATGATGATTAAGATATATAACCATGTTCCTAACTATCTAATAATTTATCAAACATTTAAAAGACTTTTTTATTGTCAAATGTTAATATGACTTAAATGAATTTTTCGATGGCAAATTAACCAGCCAATAGAATGCTTCAGACTCTTAAGAATTAATTTATTAATAATCTATATATATATGAAGAATTTATAATAATATTTTAATGAATTAACGGTGTCGATTCTGGCATGACTATCTAAATCTTTTTATTCTGTTTTGGGAATACAGAATAAAAACACTTATGTTGAATTCAGGTTTGGGTTTGGAGAGTCATCCTAGAATTGGCACCAATGTTTGTGTAGAATGATTGAATCTTAATTTATAAATTAGATTGTGCAATTGTATAATAATGTATTTTAAATAGCTAATAACCCTCTAAAGTTACTGTGCCCTTGCAGGGCGTCACTTTATTTTTCTGTACCACCTTATTTCTGTGAATGAGATATGCAATGAATAAATAAATAAATAGGTCCTAGCTTAGACTAACTTTTAGCCCATGTTTTGTAGTAAATTTAGTACTAAAATAGCCAAGTACCTACCGTGATCTAAGTATAAAATCAATCTTTTATATATAACAGATTTATAAATTGATCTTTGTAAGTACTGCGTAACTAAATCTCTGAAATAACAAACAAAAGTGGAAATTGAAAATTAGTATGTTTGATGAATACACATTGCTATTTGTATTTGTTATTTATAAACTTGACATCAGACTTCTTTTCAATCCTTATAAAGCATGATAAGGATAGATTGTTGTTAAAGTTACAAAACAGCAAAAACGAATAGCCAAGTGAAGTGTAAATAATATAATTTAATATTAACTAACTGTCTAATGATAACACAGCGGACGCCGCGTGTTCGTCGCCTGTTACTACACTTCACTAATAAGGCTTCACTTCAAGCTTTATAACATTAAAGGAGTCACTTAGGCGCAATTTGACATTATACCTAACCCCTTTCTTCCCTTCAGGAGAACCCTTTCAAGGTACAATACGCGTCGGCTCATACACGAGTTTGTATGTACCTACAGTTGGCTGCATTACTTTTTGTTATAACGTAAGTACCTACGTGATTTGTTTAAGAGTTTCTTTGGTTTCAGATCTGTTTTCTAAAATAATAATTATGTGAAGAGAAAACGTTTTGTAACGAGTAACAACAGCTACGATCACACATACCTACAGATGATCGATCTCAAAGCTGTAAGGAGAATTGTTATCTAAACATCTGATGGGTAAAACAAAATGTAAACAGTTGTGAATGAAAACCGATGTTATTTTCATTGTTTTGAGGACTGTCTTTTATTGAGCATAATTATTATTTGTAAAGCTACGTATTTTTTATATTAAAATATTTCCTTTTCACAAATTCTACAAAAAAGTATTTGCATAAAAAAAGATCGGTACCTATTCAAGTATTTTATTTTAAGCATTAACATTTTTGCTGATGTATTTTTCATAACATAAGCCTTACAGTGCTTACTTTGCGGCTACAGGCTAATAGGTGTGAGTGTTAAAAAACACTTAATAATTTATTCTTTTCATATCTAAAAACTCCAGCCGACACCGATGAAAGGTTGAATATTGCCTTATTATCATCGATAATATTTTAGAAAGCAATTAAAAAAGTTACCTGTTACAAAATTCATATTAAGATAATGATATATTGGATTGTATAATACGTACGTTACGTTATTTTATGATGTACCTATTTAGTGCCATTGCGAAACAGAAATACCTATGCTATTTAACCGCAAAAGTTTTTGAAACATTCAACAAAAACACATGTATTTATTGTACGTGTTTTCCACCAGGCTCGGAAAGTAAAAGCATTGTTGATGCAAACAATTATGTATAGTGAAACAAGTTTTGCGCTAGACGATTTTGTTTAATGTTGATATGTTTTTAAGACCACGATTAACGGAAATCACAAATCTGATACGGAAATGGCTTTAAAACGGAGAAATGATACCGCCATGAATCATTAACAATTTACTAATCATTGTAATTCTCGCCATTAAAGACCGCATTTAGATACAATACCCTCGCAGTGACGCTATCT